GGTTCAGCTCTGACATGAGGGTGTTAAAGTATCTTGGAGGGAAAGGGATGGACAGGCCAAGCAGACCGTTGTAACTGGGGTCACAAGAAGAGTGAGACAGAAGGTTAGTCAGGTTCATTTTGCACCATCATAGTGATGAGAATGGAATCTGTAGGAATGGAGGAGGCTGCTCAGAGAGAGTCTCCCTAAAGAAAAGGGCTGGAGGCAGGCTCAGCGGAAGCATCACCGGCAGTCAGAAGCTGGGGCAAGAGATACCCTACTCCGTGGGTAGTGAGGAAATAGAGCCGACAGGCACAGGCCACCTTTTTCCTAAAGGAGGAAACGTGGGAATGAAGGAGAAAAGGAGGTTGAGGGAGGGTCTTGGTTTTCTCTGATGGACTAGAGTCAAGTTCATGGGGTGAGTCTGCCATCTGAGCCCGGTGTGGCTATGAGGCATTAGAACAGCATACTCGGTGCTGCCCGGTCCTGAGCCGACAGGAGGATCTTAGCAGTGTCTCAACGCTTCCTCCCACCAGGAAACAGAGTGCTGCTCCCACACCATATGTGTCCTGAGAAGTAGCATGTCCTGTTCAGCCCTCCTGGCTAACTCCCACTGGGTATGGTCTCCACACCAGGGACATTCTAAGCCTGAACCAAGTCTTGTTGGACAGGCCATGGATCTTGCCTAGACCTGAGTCAGCATCCTTATAGGAACTTCCATCTAAAAGAAGTGTTGTCTCCTAGCGTGTCCATAGCACAGCTCGTTCAGATCACCTCAGCTTGCCGTGTCCTTGTGCCCCTGACCATCTGGACTATGGGTCCTTTCTCAGAGTTGGCTAATCCTTCAGCCTAAGTTATTCCTTGCACAGCTGTTAGCTCTCTCCTTCTCCACACTGTGTGATTCTCAGCAAACTGTGTGGCTGAGCCTCTGCATGCACAGTAGTCAGTAGGGGAAGTAAAGCCATGGGCAAGGGGCTTGAAGATGTAGGCAAGAGGGGCAGTGGTTGGCACAGGGTCCCTGAGAAGCCAGTGAGAATGAGCTCTGCAGTATGGGTTTGGCTCATTAAAGAAAGGAACACATCTTCCCCAGGGATAAAATTAAAGAGAGCTAATGATATTAAAAGTCCTTAAAATATGTCAAACAGGCTCTTCACTGAGGGTTTTGCTTATATTATTGCACCTAATACTCACACCTGTGCTATAGAGACGCCCTAATGTCATCCCCAACTCACAGATGGAAAAACCGAGCCTGGAGCAGTTAGATCATGAGCCCAAGGTCACCCAGGTGAGAGTGATGGCTGGGGTTGTAATTATGGCCTGACTCCAAGTCCTGTTGTCATCGTCTCTGCTCGGGACCTGTGTGTTAATGAAGACACAGGCAGTCTGCAGTGCAGGGAGCAGCAGTTGAGAAGCTAATATTGACTCAGAAACATTATCTCAAGGTCATAAAGAAAAGGAAGTGAGGTCGTCTCTAGAGCTTGGGCTTGGGGGCCTTGGCCATCTCCACAGGAGTTCACGGGAGTAGAAAAGGGTTGGAGCGGCCACTGTGGGACAGTCAGGGGGGTCAACAGCACAACTCAAAGGCCTTGGCCCAGCAGCAGGGCCCAGCTGGAGCTGGGAAATGTGGTTTTTGTAGTGAGGTCCATGAACTCAGTTTTATGAGTTTCTCCGGCAACCTTCCACGCCCACGCGCGCAGGACCACAGAAGAGATGTGATGTCTTCTGGCTCACTCCTTAGGGCTCAGCACTCGATGACAAGCCCAGAAGGGCAGTGTCACGTGCTGATGCACTGGACCATCTGCAGAGGAGAGATAATGGGGTCCCGAGGGACTGGGGATAGGCCAGGTGGGAATGACGGAGGCTTGGGATGGAAGAGCAGAGTTCCCTGCCGAGGGACTGGCCACAAGGAAGCCTGTGCAATGAGAATGGGGCCAGGAGATCTGATGGGGGCTGAGAAGCTGCCACGAAGAAGCAGCTGTTTGCAAAAATACATACATTAATGCCCGCCTACTATTGCAGCCTGGGACACGGCCCTTCCCTGCTCACCCCTAGTGAGCAATACCTTGTGTCAGGCAAGGATAGGGGAATGCTTTCTCCATTCTGTTTACTTCCCTCAAACATTGGGGCTGGACTGGATGGCAAAACACGGGCCCTGGTAAAAGCCCGGTTTGCTAACGAGGCTGTATTACAGCCATGCTCTGCTTTCCGAAGCAACACCCCCAGGAGAAAAGAAATAAAGCCATTTTTCTTCCGAGGCAGAAGGCTTAACATTGTTTAACAATAACACTTAACATTGCTTAGCCCTTAGCCTCAGGCAACCTCATAACTACCATGCAAGGAATCGTCTTTTTCCTAGCCTGGCCAGGGCTCTGGCTCAGTTTTTTGCGAAGTGCCATTCAGCCTGGCAGCGGCTGCCCTGGCCTCCTTTAACATGACAGAGCTCCGTAAAAGCATAGCGAGCGCCCCTTTGCCTGGGCTCCCCACCTCTCCATGTCCACTGGGAAGCATTGTCTCTGTGTTGAAGGCTCCATGTTTGACATATCAAAGCTTCCCTATAAGGCTGGCCACTGACTTCCTATGGATAGAATCATTCCTACTTGTATTTAAAGATGTAACTCCATGAATATGTCAAAGCTTCCTGCTGCTGTGACAAAGAAGGGATCCGGTGCTATAAGGAGGTGCTCTCCAAACTCTGCCAGCAGAAGGGAGAGCAGTGAGGCTTGTGAGACCCCATTAGGTGAACGGAGACCAGGAAAATGGGGGAACTGTCTTGGGCATTCAGCGGAATCTCCACCTTCTCAGAAGCTGGCTGGGCTGTCACTGCTTCTGTATTCTGCTGCTTGTGGATAAATAAGGAGTTCCCCACCCCCCACCCCAAGGATTAGAGCATCTTCCTGTTAGATATTGAGATGGAACCTTAAATTTAAGCCCTCCTCCCATTTAGAAACCAGTCTTGTGCGTTTGTCTGAGCCATATTCATTCTCCATCACAGCAATCTGGTTGCCAGGTGGCTACAGAGGTGTGCTTGCATGGACAGCTAACCGCCCTACCCTGGTGTTTGTGAGCGAGTGGACCGCTGGCCCATTTGTTTGCCGCCTATGATGCTTGTGTCCAGCCACAGTGATACTCTCGGGACTGGTGGGATTTTATCAATTCCTACATGTGTGATGGCTGCAGAGCCACACACAGCATGAACATGTTGCCTTTGTCAGATGGAAAACGCCCTCCACAATGCTCCATCCTGAAACAGACGTGTTGATTCAGCCTTGATGGAGTACTTCAGGGCTTGTTAGTGACAATACACACAAGTTGGACATGCAGAGGACTTTACGTTCATCATGAGAAATGTAGGCATGGGTAGCACCATCATGAAAAGTGATTTGCTGCTTCCTGTCCTCAACTGTGACGTCCTGAGGATGGAATGACTGAGTCTCCAGTCTGCATAGTTCAGGGCTGATAGCGAATAGACGAGCAACAGGTAGATGGGGAATGAAAGAGTGACAGAAATCTATAGAATTTTCAATGTTCTTTCCGTTTTTGATTTGTACCCAAAACTCCATTGCCTCCATCTGAGTTCAGGTCGGCCAGGAAGATGTTAAACTGCTTCCAGTTTTCCATTTTTGCTTCCCCCTCACAAGAATATGCTACTTTCCATCTGCCTTAACCACAATTTCCATACACTTCACCACGGAAAGCCAGAAATTTTATATTTGAAACAACTTTTGGAGACTACTTCCATTTTTTTTTTTTTTTTTTTTTTTTTTTTTTTTTTTAATGAAACAAGATATGAGGCTAGGGGAAAGTAGTAAAAGGAAGGAAACCAAGGATGGGAAAAACTGTGAGAGGAAATATAGAAAAAAGCAAAGCAGGGAGTAAAAAAATCTATTGGTCCAGAAGTTTCTAAAATCTTATATTTGGGGTATCCTGCCTAATCCGTGTTAAAAATTGGTTCTCTGCATGACTTGAGATTTCATTATGTTTGATGATCAACATACATGATATGTATCAGAGCAGATGCCTCATATAATGTTTAGGAGGTTATTTTTGTTGGGAGTTGTTCTGAATTTACACACAGAAGTCTAACCAATCAATACGCAACAAAACGGCACCTCCAGGTCTGAGTTAGCACTTCACAGCTCTGCTCTGATGGCCAGTTTCACCTGGTCCTCTTCTTTGTTACAGGAGACATTGTAGCATGTCGGTTTTCTGGCTGTCCCTGACCTTTCCTAGATGCCCCCTCTTGTCCCCCCCCCCCCCCCCCCAGCTCACTCATTCTCACACGCTCAACTCCCTGAACTCCCCAAGTGACCACACTGTGATGCACCTTTGGAAAGGTTTCCTCTTTGTCATGCGCGACGAGAGCAGACTAAAATTATTCTCCATCTCACAGATAAGAGCCCAGACCTTTGAGAACTGTATCTCATTTTCAGGGTGTCCAGTTACAGCATCGGGGGATCGCACTAGGCCGAAGCGGCTGGGCGAACCTTTCCCACGCAGTTCTGCTCCCATTCCCGCCCGGCACACCAACTTCTCACAGATAGGATAGGTGCTGGTGGCCTAAAGGACACCGCCAGATTCTAACTCAAGCAAAGGGCGCCTTCCCAGGTTCGCATTTCCCCCCTGCTTTTTCCCACCCGCGTGGAGCTCCGAGGTGAAGGTCGGCCTGCCCTTCCTCATGGGTCCCTGCGAGCACGGGGATTTACTGTTTTATTGTCTCTGAGCTTGGCGTCAGATGTTCAATACCACTTTTATAGCAATGGCTTAGGATTTCCATTCCGCATCCAATATTCTTGCTGACATGTTCCATTGCCATGATATACTATTTTCTCCCCCTAAAAAGTAACCCACAAGTGTTTCAATTATTAGCACGGTTGTGAAGATGGCAGTGCGGCTGCAGCAAATGGCAGCGAGGCGAAATTACAACGTATTCCCTCTCTTAGAGCCAGACTTCTAGCTCGCGCAGATTGAAATGCAGACGTTATGTGTGGGGAGCGGGTGACAGAGGCCCGCCGGGGAGGTACCTGGGCAAGGATGCGTACTGCCTCTCCATCCCTTCGAAGCGGAGGTTGTGCGCAGTCCCATCTGGACCCTTTCCAGACACCTGTGGAGAGAAGAGTAATTAGAGATGAAGATCCATTATACACCCCGGTTACTGACAATGCATCTCAAAATTATAATCAGTGCACAAATGCCGTCGCCGCCTGCCAAAATCTGCCCTGGGAACGCAGCAGGGGCTCAGTGTCGCTGTGCGAACTGAAGATCAAGCCACAAGCAAGGCATTTAACCACAAAGTCACTTCTTTCCTAAAAGGGGCATTGTCGAACTGACTCCTTCCTGTCACCGTGCCAGGAGTAACCTGTAGGCTGTAAGAACACTTCAAAAAAGCAAAAGAGAAAACTAGGCTTTCATTTTTATAACAGCTTTTGATGTCCAAAAAAATGTAGTACAGTGAGTTCCCATATACCCAGTTTCCCTGTTACTAACATGTCAGATTAAAATACAAATAATGAATCAGTATTGGTACGTTATCCTTAACTATAGCCCACAGTTTGTTCAGATTCTACCCAATGCCTTTTTCTGTCCCAGGATCCCATATTACATTTAGTCATCATGTCTCCTTAGGCTCTCATTGGCTGTGACAAGGGCTGTGCTTTCCAAAGCACCTTGTCAGTGACACCCTTCTTTACCAGCAGGTGTTGGTGACAGCCAGCTGTGTACTACTCCACGGCTCCCATGAAGCCCTCTTCCCTCTCACTTAGTCCCCTCCCTTATGAGCAACCAAAGAGAAGCGGTTAACTGTTTTCTAGCTAGTGCTGGTCTTTATTGTTTTTCCTCTCCTATGAATTCTTGTGTTCACCTCTCTCTGGGCCTTTTCTATCAGCATCTGAAACTCTGAAGGGCAGTAACTGTCCCAGTAGTTTCTCAATAAAGTGTCTGGTTCCATGAATCTAAAGACTTTCTAGATAGTCCTTCTGGATCTACTCTGCTAACTGAAAACAGGATGGACACTTATAGGGATTTCAAACTACGTGTTGCCCTGCCAGTGTGGCTCAGTTGATTGGGCATCATTCTGTGCACCTAAAGGCTGCCAGTTCGATTCCCGCCCTTTCGGTTTCACTTTGACATTGATGTTTCTCTTTCTCTCTTTCTATCTAAAAATATTAATTAAAAAAAATCTAAAAGTACTTGTTAAGTGGCCAATTCCTCACTTGTTCATGTGGCTTTGTGGCCAATCATGTGCTAGCCCTGGTGCTGGGTCGCCCTCGCATGAGAGGGTAAATAAAGATCTAAACTGTTATTTTGGGGGGAGGGAGAGTTTGCTATGGAACACAGGAAGTGGCAGTGTCCAGTCAGTAGGAGAAGTTTTTCTAGGTAGCACTGCACCTGGAAGTTATTTTCTTCCTATCCAGTGTCCTAGCCCTCTATAAAACCAGCATCCCAGTGGGGTCCGTGTGTGTAGGGAGGATTTGGGGGGTGATGTTGCAAAGCAAATGTAGACACTCATGTAGAGAAGGAAAGACTATTCCTGGTGCTGATTTATTACAGGAAGCCCTTCAGTGTGGATCCTACAAACCACTCCATAGTTCACCGACACCTGGAACAGGAGTGGCTGGACTTATCTGAGCTGACACCCGCCTGGTGAGCTCTCTAGGACTTCCAAGAACTGCAGAGAGGGCTTAGCATGGAATTTTCTAACACCGCCAGAGGCCAGGATGGTGTCGGACAGACAGACAGGAGATAAGGAAATGGCACAGAAAAAGCAGCAAAGGATAGAAGTGTTGTCGCCAGCGCTAGCCACTCCCAACTAAGGTTTCTTTTGTTTTCAACCTTTTTTTTTTTTTTTTAATGGAGGAAGAATTAGCATAAATGCAAAAAACGATGTTAAAGATGATTAATTGTGGTTGTTGGGAAAGATTATGCTTATGTATTCCTAGTGTGGCTGTAGACATTTACAACTAATCTTTTTCTTGGGGCCACAAAATTCCCAGTTGATACTAGCAGCAAAGATATCTAGAACAAGCTGGTCTGATGATGACAGTCAGCATTCTTACCCTTCCCCAGGCATCTGGTGAGCTATCAGCATACTGGATCATATAAAGCATAGGGTGATCCATACCCTGAAGGAAATTTCAATTTTGGGGGGAAAACAAGCATCAGAAGTGAAATCATTAAAGGATGCTGTAGGATGTTACTAAAAGTAGCACAGATGACACTTGAAGATGTTAGAGGAAAAAATCATGAAAGTAGCAGAACGTGGGCTAGGCTTCAAAAAGTGGATGCCATTCTTTAATAAAAAAATTACTGTTCTTCATTAATTGTGTATATATTTAATGTGCTTCTCTATTAAAATCACATCTTTAAGGTAGGGATTATTTGATTAGGGATTATTGAGCACCTACTGCATCCTAATGTCACGCAAGGCACTGCGTTCAAAGTGAGGAGCAGAGTCCGGCTTTCCTTGTTGCTCTGAATGCAGAGGAGACAGGCCTGCGAACGATTAGGATACAGTGAGATCACTTCTAGCATGTCAGTGAGGAAGGAAGCAGCGGGGTCTGAAGGACCAGACACCAGAGCCCACCTGGGAGAGCTGAAGACAGCTTCCTCTGGGTGCTGAAGCCTCCTCTAAACCTTGAATATGAATGAGGAGAAGGTTTTTAGGGGAGAAGGGTGTAGTAGTAGCAGGAAAAGGCATTTTAAGTAGCAGGAACAAAAGGTGCAACAACAAGGAGGCTTAAAAAAAAAAGCAAGTTTTTTTTTCTGGGAATGTCAAAATTTTGGTTAAGGAAGAAACAGACGCTCTGAGGAAAAGGATGTTAATCACAGCTGACATTGAGGTCTGTGATCCATTCTGAGTTGCCTTTGTGGAAGGTTTAAGTCTTTGTGTACACTAATTTATTTTTTATTTTTTTGTATGTGGATATCCAGTTGTTCCAGCACCAATTGTTGAAAGGACTATCCTTGCTCTATTGTGTGGTCTTGGCTCCCTTGTCAAAGGTCAGTTGGTAATATTTATGTGGGTCTATTTCTGGATTCTCTACTGTTTAATCGATTTCTTTGTCTATTCTTTCACCAACAGCACACAGTGTTGATTATTGCAACTTAATAAAAGTCCTGTGTTGGGTAGTGTCAGTCCTCCAACATGGTTCTTCTCTATCAATAGTGTTGACTATTCTGGGTCTTATATTTCTCTGTGTAAACTTTACAATTAGTTTGTCTAGATCTGTGGTTGGCAAACTGTGGCTCGTAAGCCTCATGAGGTTCTTTGGCCCCTTGAGTGTGGCTTTTCCTCAAAATACCATGGCCTGAGTGAGTCTATTTTGAAGAAGTGGCATTAGAAGAAGTTTAAGTTTAAAAAATTTGTCTCTCAAAAGAAATTTCAATCATTGTACTGTTGATATTTGGCTCTGTTGACTAATGAGTTTGCTGACCACTGGTCTAGATCCACAATATCCACAAAATCCCCTGCTGGGATTTTGACTGGGATTGCACTGAATCTGTGAAATCAGTTAGGACTAACTGATACCTTGACAATAATGAGTCTTCTTATCCAAGAACATGGACTATTTTTCCATTTATTTAGTTCATCCTCTTTATTACAATGTAACATTTATTTAGCACTTATTGAGTGTCAAGCACAAGACTAAATTTATTTATTTATTTTTTGCATTAGCCCATTCAATATTCTGAATAACTCAATGGTTGCCCAATTTAGCAGATAAGAAAACAGCAGTTGCCTAAGGTCATACAGTGAGTACATGGAATATCTGAGAAAAGGATCAGGTCTTTCTGTCTCTCCAGAGTCTAAACTCTGGAGATACAGACAAAGACTAGATTTTAAAGGAGTATATGCCATGACAAGGAACTTGATTTTACATTTAGGTGATAGTGAAACCTTTGAGAAGTGCAACACGATAACTAATAGGCCATAGCTATAGGTTAGAGAGGTGGAGTTCCAGTGCAGTCTGAGCCAGAGATAATAAGGGCCTAAACTAGGGGATATTGAAAAGTACGGAGAAAAGGGAGTGACATAAGGATGCTAAGGAGGTAAGTTCTATAGAACTGACATAGGATTAATGGGAAGGATGTGTGTGGAATGATGCCCAACTAGGTGGGTTTGGTAACTGTCACCATGATAAACTAAGGGAAGAACAAATGTAGGGGCCTGAGTGTTCTTAACTTGCTAAGAAGGTTTGGCTGGAAGATTTTTGAAGGCAATACTTAGATATATGGAACTTGAGTTGGGACCTCTAATGAAGATGTCTGATAGATTACTGAGCATAAAGTTTGCAACTTAAAAGAGAAGTCTAGTCTAGAGATGTAGACTTGGGAACCATCTAGCCTATAAATGGTCCCTAGAAGAAAATACATGCAGTAAAAATAGAAAATACCAATAATTCTCTTAGAAAGACTATCACTTAAGGGGCAGGCCAAAAGAAGTTGAACTCAGGAGGGAGGTTGATAAAGTGTAGTTGGTCTGGATGAGGACTAGGAAATAACGTTATCATAGAAATCAAGAGAAAAGCAATCAAGAGTTTCTTCAGTAAGACAAGGACTCTGATGTACATGGTGCATTGGCATGCTGTACCAAACCTTCCATCCTTGAAGAGTGTAATCGGAAAGATAAAGACTACCTCCCCCAGAATCCCCTTGCCATCAGTGTCTTGGGCATAATTTACGTTAGACCATACCATTTGGGAAATGGAATTGAGGCAGCAGCTACACCACCCTGTTATTCTGGCAGGAGTGACTAAAGGCGGGCTTGTTGCCCTGCAGTCATTTTGGCAGATGTACCAAACATCACTAGTTTCTGGGGTGGAGCACTAGCTTTGGGGTTGGTGGCACCAAAAGTGGCTTCCTGATTGTGGCAAGCAGCTCCTGACATAGGCATTGTTGTGTGGCTCCCGTAGGGAGCAGCAGCAGCTCCCTCGGTAGCTTGGTTATGTAAGGTGGCTTGGGAAATGATTCCTGAAAGCTTACCCAGGAATTTGTTCCTTCAGCCTTGCTAGTTTTCTGTAAGCCCATTAATAGGGTGCAATACATTTGTTTCTACTTAAACTAGCTAGAGTGGATTTTGTTCTCCGCAACTGAACAGTGACTAAT